TGTTTTGTTCGATGTCTCCCGCTATGTATTAGCTATACTACATGTATTAACTGTTCGTTTTGTTCGATGTCTCACACTTTGTAAAATGTATTTGCTGTTTGTTTTATTCGATGTCTCCCACTATGTATTAGTTATACTGTATGTGTTGACTGTTTGTTATGTTCGATGTCCTCCACTTTCTATTTCCTGTTTGTTTTGTTCGATGTCTCCGGCTATGTATTAGCTTTGTTATACGTGTTTACTGTTTGTTTTGTTCGATGTTTCCATCTATGTATTAGTTATACTCTATGTGTTTACTGTTTGTTTTGTTTGATGTCTCCTACTATGTATTTACTGTTTGTTTTGTTCGATGTCTTCCGCTATGTATTAGTTATACTATATGTGTTTACTGTTTGTTTTGTTCGATGTCTCCCACTATGTATTTACTGTTTGTTTTGTTCGATGTCTCCCACTATGTATTTACTGTTTGTTTTGTTCGATGTCTCCCACTATGTATTTACTGTTTGTTTTGTTCGATGTCTCCCACTATGTATTTACTGTTTGTTTTGTTCGATGTCTCCCACTATGTGTTTACTGTTTGTTTTGTTCGATGTCTCCCACTATGTATTTCCTGTTTGTTTTTTTCGATGTCTCCCGCTATGTATTAGCAATGTTATACGTATTTATTGTTTGTTTTGTTCGATTTATCATTTTCATACAAAGCTTGTCAAGTGAAAGCATAAAATTAAGACGAACCAATGCCACCAGTTGCACTGAATTTGAATTACTATGTGAAACGTGAACTGAGTTTTATATATACTGTTGATTGTGTTTGGTTTTTGGTTTGGTTTAGTATTGTTTAACGTCCTATCAACAGCTATGGTCATTTAAGGACGGCCTCCCCTGTGTGCAAGATGCATGCGTGTAGTGTGCGATATGTTCGTGTTTGTATCCTTGTGATAGCGCAGAACTGATGCTGACTTTATTTTGCTACCTCACTGAAACGATACTGCCGAAGACACCCAGCAGGACACCCCACCCGCTCACATTAAACTGACAACGGGCGAAGCAGTCGTCCCACTCCTAAATTGCTGAGCGTTAAGCAGGAGTAGAAACTCTCGACCAAAGGACAGAACCCAAGGCCTTCCTCACAGGGACGAACGCTCAACTAAAGGCCAAAAGTGAGGCATTGTCAAGGGACACATTAGAAAGAAGAAAGTTGTTTAGAAAGAAGAGAAAAGATACGATCCCAAATTTAGTCGCCTCCTACGATCATGCAATGGGGGCAGCAGGTACAATGTTTACGCTCTACCTGCAGGGACTGTTAATTCTATTCTATCATTTTACCCTTTTACACAAGAAAACAACAAACTGGTTACAAACTGCATAAGGACTCCGAGATTTCCCATCTCTGCATTATGCAGTAGCAATTGTGGGAATTATTTGAACAAATTTTAACCTATTGATCTACCACAGGGAATCGTATACAGTACTGCCTTGTTGATTCAGGAAAGATAACACAAGAAGGGAATACCGAAGTGTCAAAAAATCATAATCAATAAAAACTAGGGCAAACCATTGTAACCTGGACTAGCATCGCTGATGTAAAGAATGGAACAAACACAAGATATACACTATATACATAAGTTTATTACATTATTTATACACACACATATATATACTTATTGTACAACTGTCTCACATCTATCATACACATACATATTCATACATGCAGATTGAACAAAATACAAATCATAGGGTACTGCACAACAGCTCTAGACAGCTTAATTGACCCTGGGGGTACCATCTTTGACAGTTCATCTTGCCTACACAGGACTATGTCAATACATGTATACAGTTGCCCGCATAGGACATCTTTTAAATAGTTGCCCACATAGGACTGGTCACTATGGTTACTTGTCTATGCTAGATCACCAATGTCTATCTGCCCTCACACCAAGGGTTAGAGCTGTAACGACATAAACAGCTATATCTAACTATCGTACCCTAATTATATTGTACCCATTCCATAGTAACATATGTATACATCCAAATTTCCATTATCAATATAAGTTATATTAGGCGTCTTTCATTGTTAATATTTGACATTATACACAACTAATAGAAATTAATACAATCCGTATCAAGCTTATACTCATAAAACTTGCTAAATCAACTACACCAGTTATTAATTAAGGTAAATTCAACACTTCTGGAACTCTGTATCAGACCTATACATGTTATCTATTTATATTTCAATTTCGACTCAAGTTAGATTCAACGTAATTACCAAATGTTACCTGTTTCAACATCGTCTGTGCGTATGAATACATATTTTCTGATTTTGCTAAGGGAGATATCTATTTGCAGAAGCAAAACAAGAAATTGTTTTAGCAACCAAAAACTGTCAATCAGCAAAATATTATCAGATGTTGCTAGCGTTGGAGACAATTCATGATTGCCCTATAAAGTATCCCTCCAACTACCCATTCTGCCTCCCCCGGTACAAATCGATCACACATCCATGTGGTCACGTCATGTATGAAATGCAGTCAAACAGCCAACTGCCATGTCAAATTGGTTCGTCCATTCAATTACTGCAGCTTCGAATTCAAGAAGATATATAACCTCGAAATTTAGCGACTCTCATGATCAACTTCGAGCTTGTAAAAAGATGGCTATAATAGACTCGCAGCTGAGCCTGCGCACCGGGTCTAGACATTATTCTTCCGCGATGACGCGTCAGAAAATTTAATGCCTAAACGTATGAATTCATTAACAAAAAATGAAACATGACATTTGAAATATGTTTTTGTGTTTTGTTTCTTCATAATTTGGCTAAATTGAACTATCAGTGTACACCAACATGCTGTATGATTGTCCTTCAATGAAGGAATATATTCTTTTACAAAACGTCAATACGTAGACTTGCACATGCTCCAAATCAGGGACAAACTGTCAGAATGTACTTTTACTAACGGTAGGGGGAATAAAACAAGATTCAGCATTAAAAAAATAAAGAAAAAAAAGCACTGCTGGTCAGCGCTTGAGTAGGGATAATTTCCCTCCTAGTATGGCTGTCTTTCTTGCCGATCTCTGTGCATTTCAATATCCGGCGACTCACCGAAATACGGTCGTCTCGAAAGCAAACAACCGAGTAAGCAAATAGACTACACCAGTGATGTAACCGCTACATACGCCGATATAATACTAAGTTGGCAAAAAAGGGATATACAAGGATAGCATAAAAAACATTTAGGTTAGTCTTACCTGTTTTCTCACAATACCATAACAGATATCGAACACACATATATCTTATCGTTGCCATGAAAACAGATCTGGAGGTTTATCGTCATATCCGAACAGTTTACAGTCTTTCAGAACGTACTCCCTAAACTCTAGCAGTAAATGTCTGTCCACAGTTTTATACATCTCAACAAACCCTTTGTGTTTGTACTCTAACACACGTGATGGGTCACTGACCTTGACCGCCTCGCGGTGCATCATATCCAAGGTAATGTTTTGAGAATCGGGCATTGGTACATCCGGGTTCACTAAGCCACGAAGTTGGAGTGTCCTCCAAACACGACCATACATCTCTCTCAAGGTCATACAATCTGACATTGTTTTCTGAGCGTTAAACGCATCTATCATCTTAGTGTATAGGTCATCTATTATAGAGGCATTTTTTGACATTGAAATTGATTTATTCTGAAACATGTTGGTTTTACTCATCACATATGACGTATCTTCGTCAAAAGATTCCATTTTACCTATAAAATCGTATTTGATATCGCAAGGTAAGCAGTGAGTGTATATAGGTGAGAAATGGTGATCGATGTTTAGTAGCTGACCATTTCTTTTCTGTTTCACTAAATATCGTATCAGTTCCGTGAATGTCGCATCATGACCACAGTTTAAACTTTTTGTTGTTGCATGTTTCCTCATCATTTTTATGATAGGCCTCCCAAGACTTTTCATATAATAAGGATTTAATGTGTGAAGCTTATCTAAGTATCCAGAAAAAGCACGTTCGTAAGGTTCTCTAACAAACATTGCCGTTGTTGCTGATCTTAAAACACGTTTGGCTTTAATGACATCGAACTGCCCTAAGGTAGGAATATGTTCATCATGGACTTTAAGATTATTGATGGAATATATATTTGAAGTTTCCTTGTGTTTCAATGAATAGAATACTCGTCGCCAGAATGTGCAGCCTACTTTCTGTACCATACAGAAGACAAAGTTATGTTTAGAATCGTACAAGAGGTACTTGCTTTTCACATACTGAAATATTTGACCCGTTTCATTAACGAAACTAGAGTTGCAGACTTCAAGTAGATGGTCCCGTCTTTTTTCAAAAGTATCCTCATCTTCCTGTTTAAATAAACGAAAGAAACACTGCTTATTGTATTAAACTCAACACTCTAAAGAAGTATTGGCGATATTCTAAAGAGCATTTAGATTCAAAATTATGATTTTTGCAACACATTGAAAAGAAAATATGACATTGTCAACATGGTGCAAAAAAAAATATTGCCAACACAGTGAAAAAGTACTATGATTTTGTCAATACATTTTATGTCAAAAAACAAAAACAAAAATAAATATTATAATTGATAAACATTTTTAATGAGATTAAGATACTGTCAACACGCTAATTGCATATCAATAACTAAAGAGTAAATTGTGCATGTTAAGATTCGTGTCACTACCCAACTGAGAGCATTGATGCAATCAAAGTTCGGGAAACTTCGGACACTAAGAAATCCATCAGCAGATCAGAGTCTACCACCTTGTATCTTAAAAGATGAACCTTTTTTTATATTTATTTAAAGATTAACCTAATACACATACATGGAACGGCACCCTTAATATTTGGAAACAGATACAGCACGCCAGGATAAAAAACGCTAGTATGCAAGTGACGGGCAAGAAAAACATGGTAAAACAGATGTATACATTAAAATCAAAACACTTCGCAAAACCTTCACACAACAAGATTGTCTAGTATTTAGATACCGTGAGGCGACATCGGATACCAATTGATTGCTTTAGCTTTAATGAAGGATATACAATTGTCTACGTAAATAGTTTCCTCTATATATTTTACTTAGAAAAATGAAAAAGCTACCTGTTGAAGTGAAGAATAATGAGAATCTTTCTGCAAGATATGATGAATTCAGTTAACATGGGAAGTATGACATCTCAATTCTGAAATAGCATGAAAGGGTCATTCTATCTTAACCGTCACTATAGGAATACTGTTATGCATGTGTTGTAAAGCGTCTTAGAGTAATTTTACAAATTATAAATGGCGCTATATAAATGTTGTATGTCGTTATTATTTTATAATGTTAATTAGCACATTTGCAAACATGTTGCACTACTTCATCTTTGGGTATTTGTTGATAGAGATGTGAGGTGACGGTGATATATATATTTACATAAACATATAAACTAGGATAAATTACAACTGCAGTAAGCTGAAATATCTCGATTTACGTCCCTTACTCACAGGGGCATGGGTCGCTTTATTTGTAATTTTAAAACATAGGGGTCTCCTATACGAATAATTACAAAGGGATATAACGACAGACTGAAATCCGTTACCTCCTTTTCTCTTTCAGCTCGTGTCAATCACAAGGTATATTGGATATACCTCGGTTGAATATTGAAGACAAGTGATTTATTTACAAAATGAAACCATAATTACGACTGTCTGGCACATGGTTATCCACTGACACCGCTTTAAAGTCGCAATTACACCGTTAAATTGCGACCGAACCAAATTCTATACTCACGAGAAATGACCAAGTTGCACGGATAAACTCCAGAAATATATCCAAGGAATGGTTTAAATCCTTATCTAATATTCTCAATCCAATACATGTGCTGCCCGCTTCTCTGAAATACTACGTCAATCAGTCTATACACATGACAAGCGGTATATGGAGATTTTTCCCCTCGCACACCTGCATTACACAGTAGCAGTCGACAACTAGGCGCCATTTTTTTCGAATTATTTTACGCTCCGCACAGAATCATGTCCCGCCCTATCANCAAACAAACAAACAAACAAAAAAGTATTACACAGTAGCAGTCGACAACTAGGCGCCATTTCTTTTCGAATTGTTTTACGTTCCGCACAATATCATGTCCCGCCCTATCATTGGCTACCTGTATGTATGCGAAAGGGAAGCTACTACAAAAAAGTTACCTCTTTTGTTTTCCGCCACAGGATTTTAAATATGGATTTAAACTATTCCTTGGATATATTTCCCGAGTTTATCCGTGAAACTTGGTCATTTCTCGTGAGTATAGAATTTGGTTCGGTCGCAATTTAACGGTGTAATTGCGAGGTTTTTTTCGTGTTATTGTTTCGAAATTTCAAGATAATAACTCGAAATTAACTCGAAATTACGGCTTATCTACTCGACATTTCAGGATAATAACTCGAAATTTCGAGTTATTAATACGACAAAAAGAAAATTGTTTTTCCACATGGCCCTAATGCTCTTCAATACAAATTCGTTTCTAATACAGTATCATATCAATTTAGTTTTATTCATACCAAAAATCAATTTAAAAAAATAGTAGGTAATTTTTGCAATGAGATATCAATTTGATGTATCTATTAATAGCGTTACATCTTTTAATAGCTTGTTAGATGTCTAAAATGAGATATTGATCTGATGTTACGTTTTATCAACATTATATCAAGACAGTTACTAACCTTCACAATCATTCTATGCTGCACATTCCCTTGCGGTTTAAATAACATGTTTCCTGAAAAGAAACGAAAGACAATTAGTAAGATTTTATTAACCAATGTATCGTATTTATTATTAAATGTCCATACCAACTTAGCAGTGCTAGTATTTTAGGGTTGTTGTTTTTTGCGAGAGCGCTACAACTTGACTTGTTTACAATATTTAGGAAATCACGCTCACTTTGTACAATGTATACGAGTGTAAACCTACATTAGAAACATCTCAAGTAAACTATCAATTTGTGATTGTGATCAATTTGAATAAAAATATAATGCAGGTTGTATATCTTCCTGGTTGATGTTGCTACTGAGACGGTAGTACCTTCTTAGACCTGTTGGTGCTCTGCGCAACCTCAGAGATGAAAACGCCTCTGTTCTCCCACGTGTGTTATCCATATTAACATTTTCTTGTACAATATCAATGCTTTCAAGTTTGGTCAGCATTTCTTCAAAATAAATGCATTTCAATATCATTGTTTATTTTTCAATGTATCCTACAAATAATGTTTACTTTCCATCGCCAACAAATTAATTTAACTGTACCATTTAAGTATCTCTTTAGGTATTGACGTAAATTACAATGGTACATATACATGCCTTGGAATGCTTTTAGGGATGTTCTGTTGTGCATTATGAACAACAATGCTAGACCGGCGATTACAAGCAAGATGAAACATCTGTTTAGGTGACTTCTCTTCATTTCTGTATGTTTACTCTGCAAGAAATAAAGGGAAAATGAACAAAACAACATAAACAACAAAAGGAGCTAAGAAGGTAAAAAAATGCCTGCTAGGGTATTAAACGTTTCATTTTCCTGTATAAACCCAGGAAGCAAGTTTGAAATAAGCATCCATACGAGTGTATGGTACCTTTTAACAATTTTCTAAGTATGCCTTTGTGTTTCAGGTTTATTCCTCGAAAAGAACGTTGATGATGGGTTGCAATGACAAGATTTTTCAAGGTTCGTGTTAATGTCATCTCACGTGACGGTCACTAGGACTAACTAGGATAGTAAATACTAGTGCAAAGAGTTAAGTGTCTACAGACATTTGGGATAGGAAATTACATGCGTGACCATCAGGAACCGTAATTTTTTTTCTTTTTCTAAATATATGTATGATGTTTGTGTATTTTAAGATGTAACATGCATGCTACGTCGGCCATGTTTGATAAAACAAATAAACCGCAAGTTATGAGTTGCTAAAAAGGTTTTAGTTGTTACGGGCCTTTACACAAGTCCCCTTAACTGCACCCATACTCACGAAGAATTTATTCATGATTGTTTCTTGTGTCAATAACTCGAAATTTAGTTTAAACTTTCTTTTATTCAAGTATTTCAATTATATATATATATTTATATATGCAATATGTATATTATAAAAGCAGAAAAAATATCCTTACGGACGAAAAAATATTATAAAAAGAAAAATTCTCAACAATATGTATATATATATATAAAACATGTTGTAACAAAACACATGGTACACAATAGGAAATAGAAACAAATGTCTTAGACACTTATGTAACTCTATCACCTTATCGTAAACTGCAAAATATATTCAGGATGGACAGCATATTGTTTCCAATGAAAATATATACAATAAAACAATCAGTGACAATAGTTTAAACAAGAAGAAAGAAAAGGAGATAATTAATGGTGAAGGGTTTTGGTTGTTAAAGGGTTTTACATGTTCTTAAATACGTACAATTCGGCTTTAAAGCACATATATGTTTATGAAATATTAAATCATCTTAAACCTGTTTGCTTTTAATATACAATCTTGGACAGCTATTTTCTTGTAATGGCAATGTCTCGTTCCCAAAAGGCAGAAAATCTGTGGTAATATTATAAGGCAAAGAATATAAATACTGTCTTATCGTCATATCTGGTACATTCTAAAAGAAAGTGAGCAGTGTTTTTAACTTGACCGCATAAACATAGCAAAGATTGAACAATATTCTTACTAAATAAATGACTGTTTAAGGAACTGCATTCCATTCGTAGACGAGCATGATATATTTGACACTTACGGGTTCCAAATGTGTAGTGGATTGGTACTTTTCTACTTAACTGTTTATCAAGGTATGATTTTATAGCAGAAACAGACGGATTTGATCTAACTTATTCCATTGATCTACAGCAGAGGGTAAAATCGATTGTTTATACAAAGCAGCTTTGCACAATATTGGAGTGACACATTTATGGTCTCAGTTCCTTGTATCATATCTACGTCCCTCCGAAACTGTGTGAGGAACAAGATTATACAAATATTGAGGCGTATATTGGTAAAACATTTTATGAAAATGAAGAATTTTTCGATTTTGTCTACGATCAAATAATCTCGTCCATCTTGCTTCATTGAACAATTTGTCAATACTTGTTAGTTTTGTTGCGCCAGTTACTATCCGAACAGCTTCAATATTGAGATTTTCAAGTTTTTTTTCCAGTTCTTTCGGAACGTTTCCCCATACTATATCACCATATTCGAGAAGTGGTCTTATAAAAGAGAAATGTATAGTTTGCAAAGTTTGTCTATCTAATTGGAATTTCAAAGATATCATTATATTGATTTTAAATAAGGCTTTGACAATGATATAATTAACTTGATCTAGCCAACGACCATTTCCAGAGTAGTACACACCAAGGTGATTGTGAGAAGATACATTATTTATTGTTCATATGTAGACGGGGGTGGTAAATTCTTTTCCTGCTTATTAACATAGTTTCAGTTTTTCGGTGATTGAAGTCTACAAGCCACTGTCGGGACCAAACATGAACTTTATTAATATCTGATTCTACAGTAGCATGTGCCGTAACGGGATTGTCTACTACTATGTACAGGGCCGTATAATCGGCAAATAGCTTAATTGTGTTATTGATTTCATAAACAATGTCATTTATATATACAAGAAATAAAAGAGAACCGAGGATCGAGCCCTGAGGTATCCAGCTATGATGGATGCCCAGTCCGACTTATAATTATCTATAATCACCTTTTGTTTCCTGTTATTGAGATTATCTTTGAACCATTTTAGTAAACTACCAGATATGCCAAATTTGGAAAGTTCGAAGAGGAGACATCGATGCCAGACTCGGTCGAAGGCTTTGCTTACGTCACATAAAACAACTCAAGTTTCTTTGACTGATTCTAATGATAGCTCAAAATTTTGATTTACTAACTCGAAATTTCAAGACAATAACTCGAAATTTCAAGATATTAACTCGAAATTTCTAGCCAATAACCCGAAATTTCGAGATAATAACTCGATATTTCGACTTGATAACTCGACATTTAAACACAATAGCTCGAAATTTCGACTTAATAACTGTTTAAATCAGAATCTGTCCAATCTTGATCTTTATGCAAACCTGGAAAAAGATTTGTTCTTTAATTCTGTCTCTTTATTGATTAAACTTCAAACTCATTCTTTAAACCGGCTCTGTTTCACAGTCCTATACCTTCTATACATTAATAACTAAACTCTCTGTGAACCAGCATTAAAACACGTTAAATATAATTTCAGTCCTTATTTCTAGACAGGCTAGTTAACAGATGACCAGTCATTTTTAACATTCCCGGATACATAATACGTTATTTCTATTTTTCTGCTCATATCGATGGCGATAATGAAATGATAAATGAATATTTCTTGTGAATATCATCTCTTTCTTACAATGTCTAAGTTTTGCTAGTAAAAGTTGAAAATGAACAGAACTAAAACAGAACGTGATGTAGATTCTCAATATTTAATAGGTATAGAAAGAATTAGACCGAGAAAAGACGGTTTACAGAGTCCGGAGTTTAATCAATAATGTTAAATAATCAAAGACCAAACAATTTGGCCGGTTTACACAAAGATCCGGATTGGACATAATCTGGTTTAATAAAATCCACGGTACATCAAACTATATTAAATTGTTAAGCTTCAATACATTATAAAATGCCAAAGAGTACACCAAAGCGTTTCTAGATTTCAATCGGAGGCATGTTATTGGACCCTTCTAGAGGGGTTTTAGGCGAAACCAGTATTTCTGTATTGGCCATGCATGCTCATAATAAAGAAAAAGAAGAAATATATATTTATTTGTATTTCTGCGGGGGAGGGGGGCATCTTATGCAGTCGTAGGTATCAAAACTCAAAACTACTCTTTAGTCTGTATGTTCTACAAAACTGTAAAGAGCTATGGCGGGTTGATAGGCTAGTGTGCGCGTGCCACCTTGTACTGCTATGACGCGTCCTCATGTATTTTTATATAGGTAGCTCTTTCGGAATCCCTACCGAATTCAAAGCCATGCCTATTGACGCATATGTTTTACGATAAAGACTCAACAAAATGCTTATCTCGCGTTATGTTTATGAATTTAATACAGATAATATGTTGTATGTAACACAACATCGAACACCCATTAGTAACAAGCTTTGAAAGGAATTAGTTTTCATTACAACTGCCTACGTCATGCCGCTACCTGCTAGCTTACAAAGCACACATCTTGATTCTGTTTTTCCTGCACCTATGAATGGTAAAATTATATGGATAATTTTCGAATATCATTTCTTACACGTGAATTGCGCTCCTTACTTTGTGCTGCAGTCTTCCTGCATATCAAACAAATGAGACTGTCCTCGTCGATGAATTTCCCGTATTTTCGGTAATATATTTGCGATTAAAACTTCTTTTTTATTTGCTTGACCTCTTTTTATTCTGACGCAACAATCCCAACTTTTTCGTTTTTCAGCATATTTTGTTTGTGTTTAAATAGATAAAATTAAAAGTATCAAACGTTTATGTATGGTAAGATTATTGCAGCATGTATATACACTATGTGTAAGTACACTGTTATCTGACTCGCTTACATATATCTAACCAAAACATGCACACACACCCTCCCTCACCCTCGCACACGCATACAAATTGTAAGAAAAAAATCACAGTAATATTTTCACCTTAGATCCAACAACATGCACAAAAGGGTTTGAGTTTTCAAAGTATTTGGTAAACAAAGCAATGTTCCGCTTTGAGCGATAACAAGTGAAGTTGTAGTTAATATATTTTTTAATTGCAAATTTAAAGAAAGTCGTCACATCAACAAAACATTCACCACACATCATTTAGTTACGTCTTTTGAAAATACAAAACCTTGCAACAGACAGCATGAAATTGAGAAAGAAAATATGAACATGCTTATTTTCCCCCAAAGGTCCAAAAGGAATCATAGTTTCAAATTTTACGGAATTTAATCCGACGACATCTGCCTTCGAAAATAACCTCAATTAAGTTAACAAGATAACCATTGATTTTTTTTAACTTAGGACATTCTATAAAAAAGGTGAAATATGTCTTCATTGCGACAATGACAAACTGGACATAGGTCAGTATTACACATAGTATAACGGTACAGTTTATCACCAGTAAAAATAGCATTGCTAGCAACTTCGCAATGCAATTTCACACAATCGCATGTGTAGTATGATGCATGCAAAATCTGAAATACCCGGTTGATTTCAAAATTTGGGAACCTATTAGACCAGTATTGAATCGACACAGGCTTAACGAAAGCACGCCGCACGAGCGATTTGTGAGGATGTTAACTTTATTTCATTTCTTTTTTCATTAACAGTATGATGTAAATCCATCTCCAGTGGAAGAAATACATATAAGATTGAAGGACCACATGTTTTTTTATGACTATAATATTTGAAAACGAAATATGC